AAAACACATTTTATGAACAACTTTTAGATCAATATGAATTGAAAACACATTATCGCATAATTTTTCTATTAATCTTTTCAACTCATAAGAACAAGATAATTCAAATCATCAATCTTCAAGAAATTAGCATGAACATATAAACTAATACAAATCTTGAAATTATGAAAATTATCTTAGGAATTGGATTAGCATGAACATTACCACATAAAAAAAAGGTTTATAAGTTCAAAAACAACTTAGAGTAATGTTCCAAGTCCAATTCCAGCCAAAAAACTCGAAAATATGCTGTCAGGGGGTCCAACTCGTCGAGTGCATGAACCAAGTCGACGAGTTGGATGAATTTCTTCATGGACTCGGCGAGTCCATCAGTGGACTCGGCGCGTCCAGTGCCCAGAAAGCCTAAATTTTCGTTTTTCAGCCATTTCAGCAAGTATAACATGAAAACAAGCCTAGGCTCTGATACCACTGTTGGGTTTTGAGCATTCTAACACTCCTAAGGTGTACATGCAACCCTAAATACCTTGGATCTATGTTTTCTCTATTATACATGCAAATATCAACTTTCCAAGGTATTATCCTAACTAGCATATTATGAAGTACAAGTAATATAAAATCTAGTAGAATAACATATGTCTTTGTTGTAGCTTGATTCCATGGAGCTTAAGATCCTAGTGCCTCAAGTGTGACACCTCAAACGGTTCACACAACATCACCAACATTTGGAATAACTTGAGAGAAGAGTTCTTATGCTCCAAATATCCTAGCCCTCTCATGTAATCCTTAGGGCCGATTTCTTGAGCTTATGGGGTCTTTATATAGTGTGCACATTAGGGTTACACAATGTAACTCATAACTTTACCCTCCATGGATTTTAACCTCCATGGAGTATCCATGGGTCACCCCATGGGTTTAGTCCAACATAAGGAATCATGGATCACAAGCCCACATATATAAGAATGAATGATTTACACAATCAATCCCCATATATTTAATTTGTCTCTTTTGATCACAAAATTAATTCCAAATTAATTCTTGATCCATACTAATTAAATAATATGATTTCATATTAATACATTAGAACTTATAATATATTAATATAAATCATAAATAACCTCTTCTCACAAAAAGTCTATCCAAATGTTCCGATGCCATGCAACCCAAATGGCCCATGCCAAATCGGGTCAAGTACATACCAATTATAGTTATGGACTTAGACACTAATCCAACATGGGGAACGTACCAAAATTCTCGGTAGGGTTCCTCGTTGTCCCTTCCACGTCCAGTTGTTAAACTCCTCCTGGTCCTTCGTCATTCTTCTCTGTTGGATAATTCCTCTTGAAGTGTCCCGTTTCACCGCATGCGTGGCATACGAGACTTACTTCTAGGTTGGGGGTTGGAGTGATGCATGGGGCTGGGGCCCTATAGTACGGGAGGTGTGCCCCTTCTTGTTGCAGCTTTTGCAATGAAATTCCCGGCAGACTTGTCACAACTGGCAATTTTAGCTAGGAAATTCTATTCATGTGTAACCATTCAACAGTTGTAAAACATATACTTTAAGTAAATCTCACTCAATGCTCAGTTAGATTCATCAATTATATTCATCAAAGAGTCTGAAGCTTTAAGATCCACGGTTTATGTCCATTTTGGACTAGGAGTTCCTTATTGGGCCTAATGGACCAATAAGCACCCAATTCAACTTTATTGGACTTAGAGGCCCTAATTGGACTCTAATTGGACCCAATCCATAAATCTAAAACATTTTGGACCATTTGGGCCTAGAATGATTCATTCTAACCCTAATGGGCCTTATTGGGCCATAACTAATCCAATTAACCTTAGTGGGTCATAAGCCCATTCTTTTACTCTAATTGGGCCGTGAATGCTTCCAAAAGCCCAATGGGCCGAAAAACCTTATGTTTAGGATCCAAATGTCTTAGCTAAAGTTAATGGGCCAAAACTACTCCATCATTTCTCCTTGGCCCAAAATATCGGCCCATGTATTAAAAAAAAGGAGAAGAATTAGAGGGGGGTTTGACTTTGGAGTGCCACCTCCATAAAATCCAACATACATCTAGGCTTTAAACCACCATACATCCATGATAGTCACTTCACCACCTCTCTTCCCCTCTCTTCTTCTATCTTCGTCCGAGAGCCAAAACACACACACACACACTTCAAAATTCTCTCCAAACATCTCTAAAAATCATCCTCTCCCTTCCTTCAAAGAATCTCGAAAATTTAGCTTGGGTTCAAGGATCTTCATCAAGTGTTTTCAATCTTTGGTAAGTGCTATCAAACACAAACATCTTCTTTCATTTCAACATCAAGAACTCTTTCTTACAAAGCTTTACTCCATGATCACCTTAGAAACTCCTTAAGTTCGAAATCTACTCAAGGAAGCTTGCTAGGACCAAAAATCTTCTTCATTTCTCTTCAAAACCGAAACATGAAAGCAAAGGTGAGTTCATACCCCCTTATTTTCGGTTTTCATATGACTTTTGGGGGAGAATACAAGTAAAATGTGTAGATCTATGTGTTATATGCATGTTTTGTGTGAATCCTTAGTTTATTTGGTAAAAATGTGTTAGATCTGAATGAATCTCGAAATTTTAAGTATTATGTAACAAAGATCTAAGAACTACAACACTATATATATCATATTATCAAGCCAAAGGTGAACACATGTTTAAGATGCAAAAGAATTCAACAAAAACCTTGTTAAAGGTCAAAATTGTCAAGAAAACAAAAGATAAGGGTAAAAAGTGAAAATTCTATTTTCAAAAGGGCCAAACAGGTCCTACATGTATAAAAAGGTATTTTTATGCTAAACATGCTTTTAAAGAGGTCAAAGATGCAAATTTAAGCTTATTGGGCCAAACTTTTGGGCCTCACGACCTTTGGGCCCAATTTGCGAAAAAAATGAGGTTTGAGGTTTAAAAATGTTATTTGGCCAAAGTTTGGGTCATAAATGTAAATAAACCAAGCTTAGAGGTGAAAATGTCATTTATTTTCAAATCGGACCAAATATGTAAAGTTTTCCAAAATTGGGCCGAAAATGTAAATTTTTACAAACAAGGGTCTGAAAATGTAATTTTCTGCGAAACAGGGTTTTAAATGTGAAAATATAACATTTTGGGTCAAAACTGTAAATTTACAGACATTTGGGACAAAATTGCAAACTTTTATAAATTATGGACTAAAGTGTCATTTTTACAAAACTTTGGGCCTTAATTAAAGATTTGAGTATTATTGGCCAAAAATGACATTTTCACAAAATGAAAGCTTTTATCATCAATCTATTAAAGCCTCAAACTAAAACAAACAATCGAATCAAACGAACGAACGAAATACGTCAAAAGCTATTTATTGGGCCCAATATTCAAATTTCTTGGCCATTGGCCCTATGGGCCCAATTGAGTGTGAAATGAGCCCAATGTTTTCCATGACAAGTTTATTGGGTCTTGTGGCCCACTTACATGTTAATTTGGGCCTAAGTTATGGATTACATGTTTATTGGGCTTTTATGGCCCATTTACATGCCTATTGGGCCTAAATTACCCTTTTACATGTGATTGGGCCTTTGTGGCCAAGTTTCATACTAATAGCGCTTGGAATGGAAATTTCATGTGTTAGTAAGCCGTAACGATACCCTTATGTAATCATAAAACTCCGTAAATTTATTCAAGTACATTTCGAATACAAAAACACCTCACAAATACGTAAACATTAAACATAATACAAAAAGAGGTTAAGAATCTAGTGAGACTTGTCGGTTGGCACCACTGAGTGTACAATCGTAGCTTGTTGTTATAATCAGAGTTTCCTGGTAGGAAAGCGGGAGTTTGTGTATAGATCTATACGGGGTGACCCCCCACGCCTTAGCTGCTCGCTACAGCTAGACTAGGCCAGTCTAGGGCGACAACATCCTTAGCAAGACCGGCATTTGGAAAAATACCAAGACGGGCGACCTAGTCATTATCATGCATGGTTATAACCGCTCATATAGGGATTCAATACCAAAAGTAAACTTTCGAAGATAAACTCTTTGATTGTGTCAATACAAAACAACTTATTTAACGATATAAGAATTTAGATATTGTTATAAAACAGAAAATATCGGATTTTCTGGGGGAAATTATTCATATACATTTATCATTTATTCACAATACAATGAAACTAAACTACTCTTTTATAAACTATAACTATATAATTCACACATGCATTTATACTTGATTTCCACAATATTTTCAGACATTTTACAGAAAATATCGGATTTTCAGGGTTTTTTTATGAAAGATACAAAGACTTTTACTCAAACATACTTATGAACTCACCAACATTATATATGTTGAACGTTTTCAAAATAACTTGTATTCTCAGGTAATCGTGAAGCTGGACGATATGCAAGTGTGTATGGTTTTGTTTTATGTAACAACACTTATCGTACTTTTAACACTTTAGAACTTATGTATTTTAACAATGTACTTGATGTAAATAATGTCAGTTGTATTATGTAATGTTGGTGATGATCATGTTATGATTCATGTGTATTCATTGTGATGATTACTCAATTGTTAGTCACACGAGCCCCCGGACGTTTCCGCTGTCTGGTTCGGGGGTGTGACAGGTTGGTATCAGAGCAATGTTTATAGTGAACTAGCATATCTAACCATACATGATATGCAACTTTAAATACAATGGAACTAAATAACTCTGAACAAAACAAAAATCTCACACTTATGTGCGCATACTAGGATAATAATATAACAACATCTAATAAAAGCTTCTGGAGGAAATTGAACACTATGAATAAACCTGGGCAGTTATGTAGTCATATTAGGAATAAATATAGCATGATCAACTATATTTATTCTGAATATGACCAACATGTCTTCGGGAGTAATCATAGCGAGAAATGAATCCAACTATCTTGGTGGCCTTTGGTTTTCATAATTCTATGATTTCTTGGTTTATGAACTGTGTGATCATCTTCCTCATTCATGATTAACATCAATGGCAATTTTCATGGTTTTTTTCAAGGAAAGAGAGGATTGAGGCAAGGTTGTCCTTTATCTCCTTATCTATTCACTCTTGTGATGGAAGTCTTCAATCTCATGCTCAAAAGAAGTATTCGTGAGAATGCTAGTTTCAAATATCATTGGAGGTATAGTGCTCAGAAGATAACCCATTTATGCTTTGCGGATGATTTGATGCTTTTCTGCCATGGAAACACTGGATCCATAAGAATCGTAAAGAAAGCTATGGATGAGTTTGCTGGAACTGCTGGTCTTATCCCTAATTTGTCTAAAAGTCACATTTTCTTTGGTAATGTGAAAGAGCCTCTTAATAGAAGGATCCTTGATGTGCTTCCTTTTGTTGAAGGCAAATTCCCTATGAAGTATCTGGGAATTCCTTTAATCTCTACTAGGCTTTTTATTAGAGATTGCAAGAGTCTTGTTGAAAAAGTGAAATTAAAAGTTAATAATTGAAAGAATAAATCTCTTTCGTATCCTGGAAGACTCCAATTAATCAGCTTTGTGCTTGCTTCTCTCCCAGTTTATTGGGTTTCTGTGGTGTTGATTCCTAGGGGCATCACTAATGATATAGAGAAAATCATGAGGAACTTTCTTTGGAAAAGTGGGGAAAACAAGAAGGGAGTGGCTAAAGTTGCTTGGAATGAGATCTGTAAGCCTAAGATTTATGGAGGTCTTGGATTGAAGAATTTAAAATATTGGAATATTGCCCTGCTGTCCAGTATAATATGGAAGATTTTAAGTGGTCAAAATTCTCTGTGGGTGAAATGGGTGAATTCTTATCTTTTGGAGGATAGAAGCTTTTGGGATGTGGGTTATAAAGATAAAATGAGTTGGAGTTGGAGAAATCTTTTAAAAATCAGGCTTCATCTTCGTGAATTTTTCTATGTTCAGATTGGAAATGGTGAAGGAACATTCATGTGGTTTGATAATTGGCATCAGCTGGGGACTTTGAGTTATGTTCTGTCTCCGAGAGAGATAGGTAATGCTGGGTATAATATAAGGGATAGAGTTAGTGATGTTATTGTTAATGAAGAATGGAGTTGGCCAGCTGATTGGTTAAGAATGATTCCGCAGCTTGGAGAGTACTCTGTTCCTAGTCTTATCAGAGGAAAAAAGGATACTGTTTTTTGGTTGAATTGGAAGGGTAATATTGTTCCCTTTGCTGTTAATCAGGTCTCCTCTTCTCTTATCTGTCATGAGTCTAAAGTTGATTGGCATGATTTGGTTTGGTTTCAAAATAGAATTCCAAGTCACTATTTTATTCTTTGGTTTGCTATTCTTGGAAGACTCAGAACTCAAGATAGAATGAAAAATTGGAAAGACTCTAATGAATTCTGTTGTGCTTTTTGTAACAATCAAGTGGATTCCCATTCTCATCTGTTTTTTGAATGTAATTTCCCAATGGAAGTGTGGGATTTGATGAAAGGCAAGGTGAAACTAAAGCACAAACCAGGTAATTGGTTTGAAATTATCCAAGAGCTCCAATGTTCCTTAAAGGTGAGAAGTATTGATAGTTTCATTAAAAAGATTGCTTTGGCTGCTTCCATTTATCATATTTGGAATGAAAGAAATAAAAGATTGTTTGGGAGAGAGAGAAATTCTGTGGAAAATGTAGTTAAGAATATCATAGAAGACATTAAGACTCAAGATTTTTAGCCTTAACCTGGGTTATCTTGGGCTTAATGAAGAAATTTGCAAGGAATGGAATGTTCCTGTTAAAAGAAGTACTTGTTTCTATGGAGAACGAAATTAAGTTGTTGTTGGATTGGAAGGATTATTGTCAGGGTGGCTGGCTTGGAAGGAAGAATAATTGGTTGGTTTTGGTCTCTGTTATGGGGAATGCAGTAAATGGAGATCGTAATTTATTTTTTTGGCCCAAAGGGTATTTTGGTCAATTCCAGGAAATAAAAGATTTGAATGAGATAATTGATTTTGGGGGGTTTAATTGGTTTTTTTTAATTAATGGAATCGGTGATATAAGGGGGTCTCTGAAGGTGTTTAGATGTGATTGGGTGCCGAAGGATAGAAATTGCTGGGGTTGGTCTTACAGGGCTCCCATGTCTTCTGCCGGGCAGACTCTAAATTCTGATTTCTTTTTCTTCTCTTCTTCTGGGTTTTATGATAATCACCAATGGTGGGAGTCCTTATTTGACTGTATCGAGATGCTTGGAATGGGGCAATTTAATCAATTTTTTTAATATGGTGGATTGGCCCTGTGAATGGCAGTTGAAGATCGATGTTGGAATTGGGTGGTTTAATCGGTCCTGTATTGATCAATTGAGTAGCAAGCATGAAGCGAATAAGTTCAATTGGATTTTAAATAATGCTATCTATGCTCGTTTTTTTTTGTTTTTGGAGTCAGGGGCATTTTGGTCAACAATATGGAAATTTTGGTAGTTTGGTTGAGATGGTTTTGATTTTAGGAATGGATTGGGTTCTGGTTCTCGTCCACTGTTGTCGCAGATTAGAAGATTATTATTTTTGGGATGGAAGGTTTATCGATCAGGGGTATATAGGGTATTTTCCTAAAATTGATGTTTTTTGTCCTTGGTCTGATCAGAGAGATGGCTGGTGTGGCACGATCTATACTCGAAATCATTTTTTGGTTGGCCTAAATTATTTTTCTCTTCATTCTTGGAGGCAGGGGCATATCGGTCTTTTTTCTATGAGATTTGCCATAATTATGTTTTTTTGGAGTAACTCTTGGAGGTTGGAGGATACTGAGAAGCTCAGGATTAATGATGTTGTTAAAGTGAGGGTTGATCAAAATGCTTGTGGATGGGATTCTTTTGCTTTTATGAATATAGGGCAAATTTGGAAGCTATGGATATGGAAGAATTTTAATTTTAAAAATGGAGTTCTTTTTTCTTATTTGTATGAAGGAATTGACGGATTTTGGGGTTTTTTCACTTTTACCTTTAAAAGTGAATTGCATCTCGGTTTGATCCCGAGTTTCATTTGGTTTATTCCTTATGAAGTGGATATAATACATTTACATATGGGTTTTATCCCCATTTTTTGTGAATGCCCGCCTTGGAAACGAGGTGTGTATATACAAGGAATTGACGGATATTTCTTTTGTAAAAACTCAAGGTTTGAGCTCATGTTGGCGATTTTTTGGATGCTGGATGAAGATGGCGATTTTGGGATTGCTAATTTGAAGAGGAAGTGTTTTCAAAGTTGGGTTCTTGTAGATTGGATTAGTTTGAAGAGTTTGAAGGATAGTAATTATTTTGGGAAGATGATTGCATACAGTGAAGATTTTTTTGTTGATAGTGGGTTTTGGATTGATTCTTTTATTATTTGGATGGCTAATTTAGAGAAATTGATTATTCAAAGATGGTTGCTTGAAGATTGGATTGGTTTGAAGATTTTGGAAGATAATGATTCTTTTGGGATGAAGATTGGATACATTGAAGACTTTTTTGTTGATATTGGGATATGGTTTGATCCTTTCAAAGTTTGGATTATTGAGATATTGGGAAATTGGAAAAGTGACTTTATAGAAGCTTACAATGGTTTACTTTTTTTGGACTATACAAAGAATAAGAATAAAAGTATCAGGTGTACTAAGTTGGTTGCTATTTGGGATATAATTTTGGGTTTGAAGTTATGTTGAAAGAGATTGAAGATGTTGATATTTTTTGGGGTTTATAGAGTTTTTTTGATCACTAGGAT